TAATATTTGACCAAATTAAACCGGCGCGATGTTCAGAAGAATTTCAGTTTCTGTTATTCCCTTCCATTTGATCATTTTAGTCATTGCAACTTTATTCTCATGTTCTCTATTACAAATCACTAACCATGGTGCTAACATTCAAAATCATCAGTATTGATGCTACTGCTTGTGGGATCGTTTGTGACCTTTTAGATCTGCATTGGGGTCCAGCCAGTAGGGTCATTGTTGTACATTTTGCACCGACGTCAGTGGATAGCCTTTCCTTAGGAGTAACCTTAACAAGTCTACATACGTTATAAAGATTTATCAATCTATACGATCTAATCAGATGATTGTACTGCATAGATTACAATTGGTAGTGTATGTGTTAACTATTTCACCACATAGGTTCTGCGATATGCTATGTTTTCTGGAGTAGTTCGTGGTGCGAACGAGGCTAAAGGCGGTCAGACTATAAACCGACGTGAAAGTATGAAAAAGTTATAAATATGTGTGTCGTGTTGGCATTCCAAGGATCAATAACTGGAGACGACAAGCTATATGGCATGGTGCCCAAAACAATGACACTATTTTATCTATCCAGTTTGTGTACGCATTCAAATTGATTCGTACAGTTTCATATCCCGTTTTGATATCAGTGTCATTCTAGTACATTGTTTCACCCATTTATTCATGGAACAAGTCTAGATGGGCATCCAAAATTGCGCATAAAGATTCAACTAGAGCCCGCAAGTACATGGCTATTGATTTTTTAGGCCGAAAACACTGAAACAGGCAAAAAAACATGTTTTTTCTTATGCATAGCTGCTCTCACCCTGTCCTAAACTTCAGTGATATTTACTAGTGTGCAATTCTGTTGACGTGGTACTGTCATTCAACTAGGTTCAGGATCATCAATACGCCATTACAGATAGTTTACTTCCGAAATATCGGCCCAGAAATAGTCTCATTTCCTCAAAATTCCTGATTTCAACAGCTTATTATGTGAGGATTTATCGCTTCCAAATAACACGATTGTATTCGTATCTTCTCACTTGCTTTGCACTTCTATCCACCGGCCACGTGATCTTTTGGGATGCTAGAAACTCGATGCAGTCTTTACAGAAACACCGAAAACAGTGCTTGTGTACATCACTGACCTTGAACCGCGATACCTTTCAGTTCAACACTTGAATGCTTTCCCTTCGGCAAGTCGATTTGTCCCACCCATGTATTTGTACCTATCTCCAGCTGGGCGGGGGGGGGGAGATATAATACAAGTGAATAGGGATACATGAATCAACGGGGCTAGTGTGTGTCTTAGTCTAGGTGGACAATGGGGTTTGAGCACACCTCAGGACGCTAATGAAGTTTCTCAGTCCATTGACCCGCCCACTTGGACGTGCAGTTCACTCCGCCTACCTGTCGAACCTTACCCCACGCCCGAACCACTCTTACGCACGTACGCACACACACACACACACACACGACCACGCACACAAAACTGGCCACCTTCATTAGGTAAGACAGCCCTGAGCATCGAGTCTGTAATTAGATTGCGTTGAATGACGATGCCCGAGGAGGCTCGGTCAATCGACAGCACGATAGGCAAAACACGAATAGGCAAGCACTGACCACGCTCGCAGTTCTCCGAATTCACTATCCGAGTAATAAGGGGAGATGTCCATGTGATGACACGCGAGTGCACAAGTGGTCAATTTGCGAGGAGGACACCAAAAACAACTGTCTTAAGTGAATCGAACGAACTGAAAAGAGGAGAATTGCGGACTCATTGTGATCGACGGGCCAAGGAGAGTAAATATTCTGCACGATCTGAACTACTATTCCAGTTATGGGATTGAATCTTGAAGTAGTAAGATTAAACAAAGGCCACGTTACCATTGATAGTTGACATCAATTTTATAAGAAAACTTGGAGCAACCAGTAGAGGTCGTCAGGAAAACACTCGTGATTAGTACAGGAGAAAAATAGGATTGTGCATAGATGTTATAAGGTGGGTAAATGTAGCTCGTTGGTACACCGATGATTTTCCCGGTTGTAGCCGACTAATAAGTAAATCTATGGTTTTTCGTGCGGTAAAAAATTTTAACTCCAGTTTTCTAAAAATACAAATACTTGAGGTCGTTCGCTTCAGAGATCACATTTCCAGAATTTAATTATCGGCTTTCAGACAAGCTAATCCATTTTCGTGGACAGCTCGTGGTTGATGATAAGACTAGAATCTCGAACGCAATGATGACCTTGTGAAACAACAAATAAATGGATTGAGTTATCCTGTTTGAGAATAGTTATAAACACCCACCAACTTACTATCGCTAATTCTTTAGGCTTGTTTTGTCCGTAGTCTATTTTGGACAGGCACCCAGACTGAATAATTAAATCAATACCTCCTGAAGTTCCCATATTTGTATAATATTGTCTCAAATTTATGGTACAGTCTTATTTGACCGATTTTGACCACTATAGCTACTACAGCCATCCAAAAATTTCGTCAGTACCAATTGTAATAAAAACAGTAATGTTTCCCGTTGTTGTTGTGGTTGTTGTAGTTTTCATAATGTTTTATGTTTATTCAGTTGGGAAATCCGTTGAATTATTTTCTCATCAAATTGATGAAATGCATTTTCTGTAACATTACGGAAAAAAGCGTTACTTTCTCTCATTTAGGTTCGCGGCTCAATTAATCTCCGGAATTTTGGACTATAAAACTATTTTGGACACGTAAGTTTCTGACCGGAAGATAATCCTGTATCTGAAATGAACCAAATTCAGATCAACAAAAATAACTGAACTGTGCTTCTGTTGACGATATGTTTCGATATCTAAAAAGCTGTTTCATGGCGAATGCAATGTTGATCGATACGTTATAATTCGTTGATTGCTAATCTTAACAGTGGAATGATACATTTTGGTGACAGTCGATTGTTTATAATCCTCTCACGGTTAGGTCAAAGTATGCTGTTCAATCACACAGTGACAAGTTATTTGAGGTATTGTTTCATTATATTTTGAATTTCACACAATTGGTAGCCCTGTAAACCTTCCGTCGATACTGGCTCGTAATGGAGCCTCGCATAGAAATGAGCACAGTGGCTCAAATGAGAAGCCTTAATCCTTTATCCGTCAATGTCTTCTGCTTCTTTTTCTGTTGCTGTTACAATTAGATGTTCACTTGTTTTATACTTGAATGATCAACTCAATCAGTGAGGGTGATCAATCTCCCTTCCAGGTTGATCATTTGGACACTCCGCGTAACTTGAACATTTCAGGTCTATGGGAACCAGTTTCACGCCAGTATAAAACAGAAAACAGTCATAGTCATTTCGATCGACTTCGAAACATATAACGTCCTCCCCACGCCTCTGTTCTTTGTGACAATGTGATGCTAAACATTGTACATTAGAAAAGTAATAGCTTTTACCGTTTAGGAGAAAACCTACAGATCTTTATTCTCTCTCTCTATTACAGCAACATTCTGTTGACTATTTATAGCTCAAGTTGACTGTTTTGTTATTCTAAAGTCACCCCCAGTGAATCAAACCAACAACAGAGACTAGGATTTCAGCATCGCTGATGTAAATTCTCCAGCAAAGATTTACTCAAAAATCTGCCTCTCAGCATTTGTTAGGTTCACTCTGATCCCTATTTTTGATGGCAGTACTAATTCCTGTATATCGACAGATTATTGGGACAGCAATCGAACAAGTCAAAGCGCTGTATGAGAGTCAGTCAAACCACGAAAAGAAATTTGAGCAACCTAAGCCAATTACCATGAGTTTACTTGGGTGTGTTGTGGTGGTACTTGGAGAGATGAAGGGGGATCAAGGAGGAGCAGGTGGAGCTGCGTACTCTCTCACAGATGATAGGAGTTCCCGATTGGGACGAAAGAGTGTGGGTATGTATTTCTGGGTCAGGTGACGCAGACACAACTCACCGCCTTCTGAGTTTGGCTTTGACTGAGCCGTGTGCTCTGCTGCCCTGGGCTCGAGGCTAGGCCGTGTGCGTGTGCACGTGCTTGGTTAGTTGAAGGGGGGGGGGGTTGAAACCCGTCTCCGCCGTGTAATTTGATCCTTCCTGACCTGGCTAGCACGATGTGGTTTCGTCAGGAATTACCCAACCGACACGCATCTGCAGACATGGACACACACAGGCAATGCTATTTGCACACTTGCACACAAACCCATACACATCTTTTGGGACTGTAGGTCCATGCCCAATTAATTCAGTTGCCTGTTGACACTCATTTCCACGTATATTTGTTTATTTGAGCGACTAGTCTTTCGTTTGAACGCTTCTGTGGTAAGCCAACTCCCCTTGCCCGCATGCGCACACAAACGCAGTCACAAGCGCGTAAGTGACATCACGTTCTCTTGCAATAAATGAAAGGGAACCGGAAATGTTCAACTGAGCAGGAAAAGTGGTTCTGTTTCTTTGTTAGTCAATTAGATAAGTGTCGATTGGTAGGGGAAAATGCTGCAAATAGGTTTTTATTTGTTCCTGAGTTCTTTTGTAAACTGTCTCCCTTGACCTTAGAAAAAAGTGCCCCCGGAGTGAGTGAGATAGAAAAGATATTAGAATTTTTAAAGCATAAATATTTGACTTGACACCGCGTCCTCGGAGATCAGGGGAAAAATAATTAATTTTAAATGATCTGTGATGGAGTAGTGAGATTACGGCGAGTCTAATAAAAGTTCTAGTGGAGTTGAGCGTTGAAGACTGTGGGGTGGGGAAATCAGGTGTTATGTTTATGAGACCGTTTGCTTTGGCTAGTCTCGAGACGATTTACCCGCTGTGGTACCTTTTGACATGAGAACAGTTTCTCCTGTGCTGTTTGGTGCAGTGTAGATAGCATGCAAAGATCACTAGCGCACATTATACCGATAGCATTTATAACAATATTTCGACGTAAAGCGGCCACGAACTTGAATGTACTTGAGACACCGGAACTACCAAATTAGCAGGCGGTCTTTGTGACAACTTTCAACCACCAATGAACCAATGGCCTAATCCATCATAGTGCAATAAGCTTGGAATAAATAATACCGTACGTTTCTGAGTCTCTCTGTGGAAAGGTGTTCGATTGGTATTGGTATTTTTTAAAGATGGAGTTTTACAATGCATACGAATAAAATGACGAATCTTTCACCAAATCCCATCCATTTTTACAGGTCGTTCGCAATGGGGTGTACGTAAATCTGTCTTTTAGTTATCACATAAAATGAATATTCCTGGTCGTCTGTTACACAATACGCACTATAAATATTTTGTTGCTACTAAGTGTTTTCTCGGTAGATCTCAGTTCGAAATTGTTTCGTTTATCATTCACCTTCACGGAGTTGTTCACTCACTTTAGACAATTCTATTTGAATAACTACGATTCCTATGCACAGTGAGTTGCAACTTTTGGGCGGTTTTTGATTAAGCGAGTGGTCAAACAGGAGATCAACGGACAAACAATGAAGTTTTGCCGATAAGTGAACCGGGATGGAGAGAACGAACCTAACAGTTTAGGTATGATGCGTTCTATAGTTGACCTCAGAATGCAACCGTTTAACGACCCTCACATTTCAAGTCGCGTTGGTGCAGGTCAAGATTTGTTAACTACCGAGCATTATGAACAGCAGATTGGGATAAGCAAGAGTCCTGGTCCTATCGGACCAGACTACCGAACCCTCATCCATAAACACAGGAACACTCGTTGTCACCGTCAGTCACGAGTGGGGCCTGGTATTCTATTTTGGACCATAGAAGGGATAGACATCACATTGAAGAGCTCTTGTTTCGTACTCATATGTTGTAAACCAGTGATTTTAAAAGCAGTAGCCATGAAAAAAACATACTATTGGTGAATTATTTTTCCATTTTCCCGGACTTTCTTCATCAAATTAACACTGTGTTGATGGGAAAATTCCAAGAGCGTTGTAGCCACTTTGAAGCGAAATCACGTAGAGCTCTTTGAAATGGCTGATCCCCGCATAAATCATCATTGACTGTGGTAAGGAAAATTGAAGCTCAGCATTCAGATAAATAACTTCGGCCGTGTTATAAATTCAGTATACGGCACTAAGCGGATAGATAAACATGATTCACAATCTTGCTAATTATCAAATACATAGCTTTATTACAGCGATCAGGATCAACTGTATCAAAAGATATTTGAATGTGAAAATTCATGCCTTCAGCTAACCGTCAGAGTACCGAATTCAGTTTATTAATTAAAGATTCGACAAGCAGGGGTAACATACTTATCACAACCTAAAGGAAAAGGAAGTAGCATAAAGTTATTTCATTCTATCCATTGTAAATTATGAGCTATGCTTATGCACTGAATTCAGCGTGAAGCTACCACAAATACGAAGCGTTAGTGGTTAGGCCACTTGGTCGGATTAATAAGGCATTCGATAGCTTGCTGAACAGCAATGGTGCATCATATAGCTGAACTACCTAACTGTTATGGAACCTTCTCGTTAGAAACAACCTTAATCAGTTATCTTACGTACAACTTCTAAGCATGGTTCTTTACTGACTGAGCACAGGAAGCGGTATCCTATGGAAACACATACTTGATTCACAATGTAAAATGCTTAATGCTTCATCTCAACTCTAGTTAAACTGAGAAGCCTGACTAAATACTTTTTGACCAGATTGCTAGGTGATATACCCTGAACACAATCTTTGCAGAAACATGCATTGTATCAATACTATTATGTGTATGTGTAAAGGTGGTAGGTACTCCAAAAGAGGACCTCTACACTACGTAAGGTAGTGGAAATGACACAACATCTATTCTTATTCATCGCTTTATATTTTTTCGATGGTATTATTTTTCTCACAGACGATCCCTACCAATCGATCGATGTAGACACAGTCGCAAGGGGCAGCCATTATGTATGGAACAATATTATCGATTATTTACATCTTACCGATTTCCTGGTAAAAAGAAAGATAATCTGGTCACCACTACGGATCGTGATCCGTTCGATCCAGAACACATCATTGTGGCTTGTTACGACCAGGTAAGTGGATTTGAGTTGGACACAAGATAGTTTCTTTCTGTTTAAATTATTTCACTCTTTCTTTGCATTACACAGATCTACTGAAAGCATTATTAAAGTTGATTTTTGAATTGAATTGCTGGTTCTAGGGAACTGTGCCCAAATTTTTGGCAGCACAAATTCGTTTGTGGATGCGTAGTTGTGTGAAAATTATATGATGAATTGGTCGTGCAATTGAGGTATGAACTGAAAAGCTTGGAAGCACTGGACAGGTGTTTTAACGTGGTTGGGTTTCATCAGTAGTACTAATCCATCGACCCATCCATCGACCCGAAACCTCACAGAGAGAACGAAAATGCTGAGTGTTATACGTGCAAAAGAAATATTGAGAATGATACCTAGAATCTCCAGATTATTTTGATTTCCTGTATCACTTTATTTAATCATCGATTAATAGCTTTTGTGAATGATTTTTGCAACTGTTACTCACCCATCGCAAGAAATTTGAACATTTGTGAATCCCACAAAAACACTTGAGTTACTCAGCAGCTTGGCATGTAATAATTAGTTTCAGACAATGCTATCGGACACCTAGAGAGGTTCCACTTGTTTGTTCTCAGTTACTGTTGTGTAAAAATGTTTGTGCATCTTCAAGTGTCCAAGATCCTAAATTAAGCAACGATGAGGTACTTGATGAATGTTTCTGAGTGACCACCTAACGTAACTGACCAAAACGACTTATTTAAGTCGTAATTGAATGAGGAGATAGAGAGGAGGAGAGACGATGTGGAAATACCAGGAGTAGTTTAGCGCCGGTTAGACATGCATAAACTGGGAGATTTGGATGAATAAAAAAATAGCCTTGTTCAGAAAATATCGATAACTTCCTAAATATACACCTTTCGCGGTGCTTAAAGCAAATACTTGACTTGAGTAAAAAATTTCAAGTTCACAAATTTCAACTATAAGCAAAAACGAAGGCTGAGGACAAATTAAAAATGTTACCGAGTAAGTTGAAGCGTATCTAAACTTAAGTTCACTGAGGAATCGCGTTGGTGATGACGGTCAGTTGGTACTGTCATCCATCTCGTTAACTCGTCAACCGTGCATCCTTATTTCGTGGTCGCCGACTAACCTCCGCATATCGCAGTTTTTTTCTCTGATTGTATTTTTACAATCCACTTCTTTCACCTTAAAACACTACTTTTCACTTGTTCATCCAACAAAACGAAGTAGAAAATTATATAAGATCATCTCAGGACTTATACCTGCTTAGGTCCCACCCCTTGGTAGTTCATTCAATCCATACATTTCCGACACCTTTTTAAAGACTGTCATGCTAATGTTGTCACCTATCACTGGCATGTGTCTCGTCCTTGTTGGAAGCCATCAGTTGTACTTACCAGCTTTGTACTCTTACTGAGGATCAAATCACAAAATTTTAGGTCTCATGTTGATGATCTCACCCACGACGGCCAACAGTTGCAAGCCTGGCGAAATGTAATAACAATGCACAAAGCCTGTTATGTGTAAAGTCCCACGGAGAATAACTAGAAAACCTCAAAGTAATGATAAAAATTTATTTGACTACCGTTTTATTTATTTGACATGGAAATGCACAATCAATTTTCGAGAAGGCAACTGCGGTCATTTGAAGATTTCCCGGTTGAATACAGCTATGGGAAAGATGGGTGTTGGCGAGGGGATTTGAACTCAGTATCCCCAGGTCACCGTTCAGATTACCTCATCCATCTTACTACCATTGAGTTGAAGACGGATTGGTTATTGGAAGTGAAGGCACGGAGAGAAGAGCAAGAATCAGCTATGAGGGGCAACTATTTTTCCTAAAGGTAGTAAAATTTCAAGGGAAAAAGAGATCTGTGTTAACAAAACACTGGAACTTTGTAAATTAAAATTCAACTATGGTTCTGCGGCAACACAGTGGACTGGATAGCTCAAGTGGCAAAATTAAGGAGTTTTATTGTTTCCAGTTCTATTATTCCGTTTAATTATTCCAATTCATCGCAGCTAATTAGTTCATTGTCCATATTGCTGCTAACCAGTCATCAATGATCTTATTATCAAATAGTCATTCATTATGTCATTGACCGTTCAAAAGCTTTGAAAGCAGCATTCCGTAGTTATTTCATCCTTGTTCGCCGGCAATCTTTAACTTCATTATATATGGTAGGCATATATTTCATGTTTATTCTTGGTAGGATCACCAAAAATCTGAATTAATGACTCAGATAAACGAATGTTTTCATCCGGTATATTGATCAGTTTGACACGCAGCAAGCTCCTCCGGATCACAACGAATAAAAAGAGTGTTTATTCTAATAGAAATAAGATCTCACGAACTGTGGGTTCGAAGCGCATTGCACAAGTTGAATATGCGCTGTAGGTGCTCGCGAACAAGGAAAATAACCACGACGTGGTGAATTCGTAGCTGTTTAGGAGCATCTTTTAAATGCGTTAGATGGGCATGAACAACGTATTTTGGATGGATAAAACAATTATGGCAAACCATTGCGCATTATTATTATTGTTATTTGTAGTAGCAGTGTTACAAATGATTTATTTGGAATAGCTGAACTTCAGAAAAATAAAATGAATTGGTCAAGTATCCTAAGATTAACTGGGTAATACACTCTTTCTTTCAGTAAGAATGGTAATTCATTCCCGCATGGAGTCAACCTATTCGGATTGTTAACAGTCCATTGTATAACTGAAAAGGTAGTACAATGAATCTTAACTGCTTAGGTCTCGTTATGTCCGCTCCAAATGTTTAATTCAATGCAATTTTTCGTGTTTTTAGTTTTATGTAATGGAAGTTGTGGCCAATGGAACTAGACTTTGTGAGGAAGATATCTACAATCAACTCCGGCGAATCACCCAGTTTGCAGAGGAAGCAGTGAGTGGGGAAAGTGATTCAACAGCACAGCCTCGTGTGGGAGCTCTGACAGCATTGCCACGTAATGAATGGGCGGAAGTCTGGGAACGCATGTCTCAAGGTAACTGGTTGTTCGCGTTGTTAATTCTCGTTGTGCTGGTGGTACGAGACGGAGAAGAAGATTCACATCTTCAAGTTCAGTTGTAAAGTACTTTTCGGATAAAAGCAATCCTACTCAACAACCCATAGTCATTATATGAGAGAATGTGCAGTATTTAAAATCGAGATAAACCAACCCATGTGGAAAAGCACATTCCTGTTGTATTATCCAAGCACCCAAATCCTGTTGAACCGATTATATATACATATATATATATATATATATATACACTTGTCTTTAAGCACGTAGTTTAGGATGAATAAATTCAAGCTCACATCTGAAAATTAATCACGTCCAGAGGTTTTGAGGAATTTCGGATTGAATTCATGAATATAATGAAATAAAAGCGGAAAGCAGAACAAGAAAATGAAAAAATAGAAGAACAGGAAATGGATTTGGGTGCTTGAATTCCGACCCGAATCCAGGAATTTGTCGACCATTTAATTTTTTCTATGTAGATAAAATCAAACAACTGAATTACATACTGTCAAATATATACTCAAACATACATGGAGAAAAGGGTGCTAGTATTCCCGGTTATCGACCTTGTATTTTAGTCATTCGAAATTCACCGGTTTAGGTGGGATTTGGGGTTGTGGCTAAGCAACTGTCATAAGATAAAACTCAAACTTCACACTCTTTACAGCTTATTCCTTCGACAAAATACAAAAACCCATAGCAATCCCAAAATGGAGTTAATCACCACCGAAGGAGTAGCACTTTTATCAAATAAAAACAACAGTGGATCAATTAACTCTAGTCTACATACAAAAGGGGTTTGATTCGATAAGCATTTTTAATGTGTCTGAAAATCAATAATTACGTCAACATGGCCTATTTATCTATTGTTTGTTTTCTTTAGATAAGCAGAACAAAGAAAATTTAGACTTGATTGCGAACAGCATGTTTGTGCTCTGTTTGGATCAACCCATCGGTCCGGTACGTGAGATTGATGAGGAAACCCAGTTGAACGGGTCAGTGGAAGACTTGAACGATGGTAATGGACCCGAACACAGGCGGGATGATGTGTCCTTGACTCTTCAATTGCTTCACGGGATGGGAAGTAAATTCAATGCGTCCAATCGATGGTATGATAAAACAATGCAGGTGAGTGTCTATCCTATTTGTAGACTTTGGCATCTCTTGCCGCGCCATATATTCCCGGTTAGGTGCAGAAAACGTGAATGGAATTGCTGAGTGAAAACGAGGACAGTTTAAAGTTCTTCGTATCTCTCTTTCTGTTTTATTTCTTGGCCATATTTTTTGCTTCGTTTTGCTGTTTTTGCGATCGTCTATAACTGTTCTCACGTCCGCTCGCTCGCTCGCTCGCCCCCCTCCTCCCCCACACACGGGCACAGACAAACAGACACATCTGCCGTTACAACCTCATGATTAGGCAAACGTACCGCTCCCGAAGACGGGAAGGGAATGGGGAAGTTATACCTTTGTCCATCTGTTTATTGTGTGCTGCTGTCTGTGAACAGGGTAACTAATGATTCAGCTCTTCTCATCTCACAAGAGCTCCGGAGTGGCAGGTGTTCTCAGGTCGGAATTATCCCACCAAAGTTTGAACGTTATAATTAACTCTCTGGACTCACAAAGACAAGAATTTACGCGAGTGTGCGTGCGTCAAAGAGTATGGTTGAAGGCGTACATTCACCCCAACTAGCTGAAGAATTATTATTGCTGTTCTTGTTCTGACTGTTCATTTTTACGATCGCATCCTATCGCGGAACGAAGGTGATCGTGTCAATACGGACGCAGTGAATGAGATGAAGGCAATTATGGTTTTATTTTGGCATATGATGATGTGCGGTAGATGAACCAAATAAGAGATTCTCTGAAAAGAAAGACCTGTGAAAGCTAACAAAAAATCATACGAAAACTATCAGATAAGTGATGAATGAATCAAATCGCTGATAAGAGCGGTCTATTGAAACTTGAATGCACTACAGTTGAAAAGATGGACCGGCACCATTGATAGGAACAGCCATTTCAAGGACGACAATGATGGCTCGATTAGGAGTGTAAATAGACAGACATGTCAACACAAGCGGACAAAATAAAGCCTTACTTATCTCCGACGAATGACCAAATGGTGACCAGAATGATGTTCAGCTTATCAAGTCTACTCACGTAAATAGACATTATTTAATCATCTAAAGACCAGCACCGCGAATTCTCAGTTCCTGAACGTAATAAACGCGGTCTGATCAACTGCTCGGTGGTCAAATGGGTGGTATACTTGCGTTCTAACCGTGATTTTCCGAGTTCAATCTCCACTCGGTTCTATGGGTTCGCACTACAGACGAGACCCACCCACGTGTAAACAGATGTAAATTATCCTACCTATCACTTCCCATTTCATTCTCTTTGTACATGACGACACCTACTATACAACTACATCTGATTTTCGGAACGCTAACCTTTGGCATTAAAGACTGTTCCGAGTCTGTAGGGAGATCGAATTCAGGGTTCTTTTAACATGCTATCTATTGCGTCGATTGTGAATGTATTGCCTATAGGCCTACCAGACAAACGTGTTTTCAAAATTTTCGATCCCAGTAAAACCTGAGTACCAAATCGGTAAAGTAAAATGCGTTTATATGAGAAAACTTCTTCGATGAATTAACTGTCTGACTTACAGAAAGCACTAATTGTCTGCTACCAAGCGATTACTTATAGCTGTTCATTAGAACCATAACTGGCAACTCAGAGGTTCACCGGGGAACCATTGATCATTTGGTTCCATCTTGTGCTTCATTCTCGCCCACGTGAAAGGAATGATGGAACCGGCTTAAGAGAAACATGTTGATTCCGCTGGTATCGTGGTGGATTTCAACAGTAACGGATCAGTTGTTCTGCACACTTCCCTGGTTAATAAACTAGCGAGAACCATTAACCCTATTAACAATAACTAAATTGCTCACGTGGTTTCTTGACAAATCAGATGTGTACATTAACAACCCGTTTTGTAATAACTCCTTTTTCAACCTTAAATAGGAACAGGAGACGTGTGGGTTTTGAAAAACTGCGCCCCTGTATCCACGGTATGAAGAGCAAAAGAAGACATAGGTAGCAAGATGCTACCATTTCGTTTAATCTTCTTAATTCCTGAAGTAAAACAAACAAACACATTAGGGTTGGAAATCTTTGTGGACGGACGTGCACAGATAGATAGGGGTCATCAAATTGCTGAAGTAAGTAGATGACAGTCACACAGAACACGGGGTCATCAGTTGCAAAGCACCTCATGAAAACCAAACCCAAGTTGATCCCGCATCGTATTTCAAACCCTTGTTTAGTAACTGCAATCCAAAACTGCTGACAATTCGTGAGGCGCTGTTCACCAGATTACATCCTCCTCTTTCGTGCGTCCAAATGTTGTTGATGCAATCAGTTCAGTGGAGTTGGCCTCTTGGTTTTAGTTTTGATAACCTCTGTCTCTCTGCACATGTCCATTCACTAGGTTTGCAAACGCAATTTATTTTTTATTACACACATTTGTGTGGTGAACAGCAAACAGGGCGAACCCCATAGTCACAAAGACCTGCTACTCCGTCATGGAAACTGGTAACCTAACCCTTGGATTTGGAGTGGCGAACCACACAAAGCCTCGATAGTTTACGCGGGGTATTGAACCGGACGACAGCAAAGCTGCCTACCATTAAAGCCAAGTGGTGGTGGCGGGGTTCGAACGTCGGATCATAGGGTTCAAAGCTCGCCAGTGACAGCGACTAAACCACTGCGCCACCACCATCCGTGTTCTATATATGTGCTTGTTTATTTTACGTCAGCAATTGAGATTGAACAAAATGGTTACATCTCGCGACATGTCTTCTTTAAGTCTTGGTGAGATGTGTTTCTTGGGGCCAGTTCATAGAGAGGAAAGACAGTAGTTTTTCGTGAAACCTTTATCTTTGGGGGTGCTTTAGCAAAGATTATTGAATATATCTGAGATTCGGCATGCACCAGTGGAATTATATGGCGAAAATTTATCTCAGTCGTAATGAATAAAGAATAATTTGAGACTAGATAAGCATTATTTCTGCTCGTGCTAATGTACATTTTCTGTCGTTAGTTTTATTGAGCCCAATCAATAATTCTAGAATTTATGAACTGATCACTCTGACAAGTATCTTAACCCTCAAGCTGTCAGACAGTATGAACTCTTCGATTTTGTGTCAAATTTTGATAGTTGAATGGTTGCCCTTGTAAGTTAGCCCGAAACAGGAGCGTCTCATTCGGATTTGGCATGTTAGAAATGATTATCTGCCAATGGAACCTTCGTTCGTTGATCTGCCAAACAGTCGCAAATATGCACATATTTTTGTCAAACACTGTACAACTTCAGGCAAACTGGCATATGCTTGTTCGGTGATGTGAGCTGCATTAGATTGCATATTATATTGTATTATTCAATAAACGAAGGTGAATCACATTCGGCACCGGTCAAAATAGAGTTTGACCGCACAGAATGGAATAGTAGAAACGCGCTTTCATTTGTCATTGTTTACTTAATGATAGCTCGGACCTCCAACGAAGGAAAACTTCCACGTGAATACACATACGCACAAACTCAAATATCAGTGAAGCCGATCAACGATATCAAAGGGTCAACCCTATTGTTTCATCGATTTCCACGGTAGCCATACTTCATACTGGATTTGGTGAATTACGCCACTGTTACTAACCTAAACTAGGTGATTAGGTGATTAGGTTCAAATCCTAACATTACCACCAAAATTCGGTGGCAGAGAACTTCGAGTATTCGCAACTTAGTGCCCTATCTATCCGCGCATCATAGAGGGTTTATGTGGTTCCTCAATCCAGGTTTCAGAATTTGGATTTTCAGTCCCCTTAACTCAGTCCTCGTAATCTTGGGATGCAGCTATTCTATTGGTCATTCTATAAGATTATTTATGAGAAAGTAGTGTAAATCAGTTTCGTTCAGGAATACCTATGACATGTAACAAGTTATCTGAAAACTCTGGGCTTGCGTTTTGCGCTCGTTAGAGCTCATCAGTAGTGCATATACACCGTCTTATCCAGGCTTAAACATCCAAACCCATTGTGTGAAACGCGTATGTTAAAATGTTGTCAATCAATCCACCCCAGGACTAGCCAGAATTGTTAATTCATATTAACACGAGATAAGTGGATTTTTTTAAATATAACAGGGCCGAATTTCGTTTCACGGATCCACTTATCCATCATACAGTCGTGTGTTTTGTCGCTTTCAATCCGTTGATTGATTGCTAGATTTTCAGGAGTTCATTTCTCAGATATACTGTGGAGGGCGTTACATTTAGCCATGTAAACTTCACTGGTATTTGCAATGTAAACTTATTGTCCCAAAAAGCCTCAACAGGAGGCTCATACATCCACTGACCATCCCAGTTATTTTCACACCTAAGGCACAACAGTCCTCAGGTCGACCAACGCTGGTCACAGCAAACTTCAAGTGGTCAAAGGTCATCCTTCAGTTTAACTTCTCATTCGCACTGAAGCATTAATCCCAGTCTCACCCTAGAGCCGAAACCAAACAACCCTAGTCGACATCTATTGCTAACGAATAGCGATTTGGACCAGGTAAACGGAGGTGGAGTACAATAACTGTTTTGATCGATCCGTAGCCCAGCCGATCTCTCCGTGTTCCACATGGATGAATTTAAATGAGTTGACGGGATGCCTTGATTTGATAATATTTGATCAATACGAATAGGAATAAAAGAAAGAGAGAAGTTAATCAGGAACAGGCTTATTACCCAAACGTCATAGACGTCACACTGTTCCATTAATTTCTTTTGACGTTTCCCTCGCCATAAAGGAAGTCGTGCTTGTATTATTTCCGTTATTAATCAATACTAAAATTTTGGTGCCTCAGTGTGGTTTATCGTTGTTCCGGGTTCAAGTCAGTTAGTCCATTCCGAGACCTCACTCATTTCGTTTGTAGGTACATTCCACCTTTCAGTACAAATCGGAACACTACATCGAGCTAGCAATCACTTATTCCTTTATCGACGTTCAATCGAAACCTTAAATTCCAGAATTTGAACCTTTCTTTGGATGAAAGACGTTTCCTACTGATTCCACATGGAGTCGTA